CCAACGTATCAAGCCCAAAAGATTAGGTGCCCCAACTATTATGGCAACTTTGGCCCCTCAACAATAGAAGTCCGATCCCTTCCCTTTTCGGCCATAACAAAAATATCCTTTAATTATTTTCTCTCCTTTTCTTTATTCCTTCAATTTAATCAAATATGCAGGGAGAAATGGCTGATTTCCAGTCTAAATATCTTTCTATTTTCATGCTAAGATATAAAATGCTTAACGTATGGTAGTTTTAAATAAAGGGGAGAAAGTTTAAAGTGAAATTAACTCCACTTCCAACCATAATTATAGTCCTATATGGTATAATCATCTAAATAGTCTAGACTCTGCAACTATCTTTGAGAAATGTGAGTTTTGATCATTTGAGTAATATTAAAGATCATTTATAAGCCTAGCTACAAAAATTTTAACTTTTGAAAACTCTTATACACATTTTTCAATCATATAGATCCTATAACACATAATTGAGAAATGCATGTCTGAAGTATTATGACAAAATATTTAAGCCTCTGAATGTAAAACATTCACATAAATCAATTATAAATGAAGCAATGGAGTTTCACCTTGCAAAATCCAGCCTGTTTTTGCCCTATTTGAGTCTTCAAGCCACCCAAGAAATGATATCTTTCATGCCCACGTTGCTTGCTTAACCATCACCCTCGCCCTAAGTTTCTTACCATTATCTCAATCAATTTCTTCATGCCAGCTGCAATAACATAACTAGTTAGGTTCTCAACTCTCATCAACGTATGTTTATCGTTTGTTGAATACTAATTAAATATTGATGCAACATTAAGAATCTCCATTGAAATGGGTTAAAAAGATATTGAGGACATTAAGCTAGATACCCTTTTTGTCACTATGAAAAAATCATATTCGATTGATTCATTACGAAGTGATTTTGGTGTAGATTACGTCGCAACATTCATAATCATAATCATAGTCACAATTAAGGGAATAGGGAAGAAACTCAATGTCAAGCCACAAGTAGAGTAGGTTTCAAGCAAGTGGTTTCTTCTGAGAGTGAAGGAGAGAGCAGTGCTACTTGGATGTCTTAATTTATATGTTTTGGTGTTTCCATTTTGTAAATGGTTGCTAGTTCTTGCTATGATATAATAAAAGTATATCAGAGGAATTTTAAGGTAAATTCAATATCGATATCAGACCATCTAATGCTTTCACCTTATTTGACGTCACACTTTTCTTTTTATTTCAAGTCTATTAACATTATTTCCTTTAAGTTGGATCAATATCAAATTACAAAACACCAACTATCAAATTGAAAAGGCTTACCCTGCCCCTAAAATTAGGAATCTATGTTGATCTAATGGTTAGTATTTTACACACCAATATACTTTAAAATAGAAAACACTTTTTTTTT